TTTGAACAACACTTATACAAAAAAAATTGTGCAAACCCATGATATAATCCCATTACAACTAATTTGTACACATGTAGAAATAAAATTCTGAGCAAAATGCTGATATTTTACAGGCCCAAGCTAAATTATGAATTTTGCTTACAGCCTTCATTCCAACTAATTCATGTTACACTATTAGCTCCAATAGGACTGTCTTGTTACTCAATTTATCACCCATTTCATGGAGTATTACAATATGGTAGTGAGAATCATATTTCTATATTGAACATGGTTCATTTGGACATGCACATCAATCACAAGAAAGTCCTATTTATTTTAAGACAGTAGAGGCTGCTTAGGTTGTATTATTATAACAGTAATTTGACATTGCAGTTAGTGTCACTTTAGGTTGCCAGTTCAAGGAGATGGCTTTGCTCAGACCATTTCGCAACAATACACGTGAATGGATAATTTACAAATCCAGTGTCTTTAACTACACAACATGTAGTAAAAAGGTAAGAGTTTATAACTTAACCATTAGTCTTGTTCAATACAATAATTCTAACTGACTTGGCCTTTTAAAGAATTGTTCCTGCACCTTGTAACCCTAATTACTTTATAACTGTTTTCAGAAATAAAAGATCTGTTTAATGATAATTCTTCTGCCTGAATTTGTGAATTATTAGGGGATGCTGCTTTCCAAATTTCACATCTCTCTGTCTACTGACTGCCACCTCCACCCACCCCTACCACCCCCCGAACTTGTTATTTAATTTGTTCACATGTTCAGTCTTCTGTTTATGTGAATTGGCAGCGTTCAGAATTGATTCTCGATAGTGCTGCACTGACAATATTGAGATAATGGTATCATGTTTTCAAACATCAGACATTTCTTGTATGAGACTATAAACCAAGAAAGAAAATTTGGCAGTTTTACCTTTAGTTCCACAGGAACTGGAAGGTGGAGACACTCCCATGCAAGTTAATTTGAAGTTTTTTTTTCATAACAGTAACTCTGCTGCTACACAGAATGTGTGTCAATGATTTGCATAAAATCATGGAAACATTTTATATTGATTTATGTCTGCATGTTTGTGTAAATGCCATGTATGGCATTTTTCTAGTGTCAAGATTGGACAGAGTATTATGATGTACATAGTTCTAGATGACCCAAGAGCAACTGTACAATACAGTATGATACGGGAAGCTGCTATCACCTGTTTGGAAGATGCAACTTTGATCCATTATGTTAACACAATGAAGCAAAATTGAAGGATTTTCTTTGTGACAATTTGGTACAATAATGGTTTGTAATGGCATCACTTATATGCTTACAAGCATGGAATACTTTGCCCTGAGACAGTTTGATCAAAAAAAATGCTTCTGACTTCTTTTAGTTGACCTCATAAGCATGGATGACTACACTTGAAGTGAGGCAAAGTTAGCTGGGTGTAGAAATTATAAACTTGGGCTGGATATTATGTGCCCCTACTGGGTGTGTTTTCAGCCTGAGGGGTACGTGAAATAGTTTGGATGGCCATCCCAACAATGTTCCACCCACCCCAGCTCAACCCCATCATTGAGAGGCTGCTGAAGTCAAAAGTTTGTTCACCATATAACAATAAATACAAGATCATTTGTGTTAGTGAAAAGCTCAATCAACCTCCAATATGACCCTGCACGTGCAGTAATAAGTTTGGAAATGGGCAGGCAGGTGAGTAGTGGTAGCCCTTTCATTTTGAAGTTTTAAAATGACAGGAAGGCATATAAAATCTTTGGAGGGTGCTTTTTGTTCATCAAGGCTGCCACCACCCCCTGATTCGAGAATAACTTCCCCACTTTGTTCCTACCTGCTATACTTCAAACCCAACCTATACTCTCATGGTGTCACTCCATAAGGTCACAAACACTTCTCTTTTCAATATCTCTGGATTTGCCTCACTTTGGTACATAGTTCTCTTTCGCAGACTTTCCTGGAGTTTTGGTGGTGCCCACCACTGAGCTTTGCCAAATCTGATGGAGTTGCTGCAGAACCAAATTCCCAGAGGGTGGAACTTCTTCTCCAGTGAGAGACCAAAATCCGACTCCCCAGCACTACAGGTTTCTGCAGCATGTTAGGGATGCAGGATGGCCTTTTTTTTTCGTCCATTGGCTCGCAGCAGACTTTTCTTGCAGGTGGGGTGAGCAGTCTCTGACTCCACCACACCTCCACCTTAACTTTCTGGACATCTCATTTCATATTCAAACAAAGAGCAAGCACTTAATTCAGTTTAAAATACCTTCAACAATTTTTTTTTATTCTCAGAACATTGCAAGTATTATTGATGGACCATGTACTTGAGGGTTTAGCGGTCTTCAACTTCATTGGTAAAAGGTTATTCTTCACAGAAGAACCTGGTCAATGAGTGTCAGCAGATTAATCTGCTCTTATCTGATCTCTGCATATGTGCACCTTCTCACAAATATTACAGGGTAGAGTTCAATGGTGGGAGCCCAAAGTTGATGAGATCAGTTTTCACATTCTAATTGATGACCTAAATAATGTCAGTCAGTACAGACCAACAATCAAAACTGTGTATGGCATAGTATTTCACTGGTTGAAATTTTACCTATTAGACCATGGAGGGAAACCTATAGCTATAACTAAACCTATCTTCTGCGTGAGGGTGACAGATAATTTTTATTTTTCTTTTTTAAGAGTGGTGGATAAGTTCAGCAAAAAGTGCAATGATAGCTTATCAATATCTATCAAATCATCAGTGGCAACCAGTCTCCATCCCTGTAAACATGATAAGTGATAACTTCATTATGCTATTTATCATAATAGTTCTGGTTGGCCCAGCACTAGCTCTCCTTTTCTTTACTGGACCATATTGCACTCCTATCTGTTCATGCTGCATTCCAATCCAACACTGAGACCACTGACTTGTGGTACATAAGGGGTGCTTACTTTGCTCATGGTTTTGAATTTAGATCTCATTTGGCTTTCTGGGCAATGCAGATCAATTGGTTACTTATTGCAAAGAGCATGAACTAGCAAGATCAGTGTTCTGGCCAATATTCCCCTGAGAAACCTCCTGTCCAGTGCCCTAGTCAAGTGACAAAAATGGAGGGCCTTAAATGCAAATGCACAGGCATGATTTGAGCCATTCTACGTCACCATTTGACCATATGCTAAATAAAAAAGCAAAGACTGTGTTTGCTTGCCCTCAGAATACAGCAGCACAGAAGCCTTGGCCTTATTCTTCATATTGTTTAAAGCTCTCCTAGTTTGTGTTACAATGTCAATCTCCAATTTCGATCGGTAGTTTCACATTTGTTCCAACTATATTTGAACAGTATCTGATATCCTTACCAATGCAGTCATATACTGAAAATCATCAGAAAAAAAGCTGGATTAGTGGAACTATGTACCAGTCCATCACTAGTTTATATGGCACGTCATTCTGAAATTTACCTGAGCAAAGAGCTTGAATATGGTTGGCCAAATATCACAGCAATTACAATGAAACTAAGTAACTTGGGATTTAATAATTCAATAATTAAAAACAAAATAAAAGCAAGCCACTAAATTTCCTAAATGGATCACAATAACATATACCTGAAGGACCTATCTTCAGTTTGAGAAAATACCTTCTTGATTAAACAGGTTTTTAGCTAATTACTTTAGTTACAGGGCACCAACAACCTTTATGTAGCGCTAGCACAGAATGAGCAATCTGTCAGTTGATGGTGATTGACCCTCATTTAGCTAAGTGCCTGTGTATTGAATCATATACTAACTAGGTTTTCTTTGTTGAATTTATTTCTATATTTTTGGCACTATTTTAATAAATATTTAATTATTTAGATTGTTAGAAAATAATATCTAGCTATGATTATTGGAAAAGTAGCTCTGTAATTCTATAAAAATGTTCATTATTATTTCAAAAGATTGGCTATTTCACCATTTTTATACTACGTATTATATCATCAAGTGCATTGGAAATGCAAAATAATGAAATTTTAGCACATCACAAAACAAATGCTTACATCACTTGTGGCACAAAACATTTTTGTAGGACAATATTTAAAGATAACTTAACTCCTTAATCTGTAATGACTCCTTCAATAACATAGTTTGTGATCTACTGTGTAGTGCACTGTTTAATCCACAGAGCTCCACTGAATTGCAAACATTTCAGTTAAAATAGTCCAGAGATATTGTAAAGTTACCACATCATATCAATCTGATGGTTCAATCAGATGCTGTTCCTGTGGAAGTGCTGGCAAATGTCCAAAAATAGTAAGAAAGGATAAACTGACTACTGAAATGACTTGTTGATGTTACACCACATCTTCCAACACAATATAAAATGCAATTGGATCAGTTGTTGAGCCTTATTAACTATTAAGTATAACGCTGTAACAAATGTGTATTAAAACATAGCAAATATTGTTAATCATATTAAACAATTAATTTTATGGTCAAAACATAATAATTATATATCCATCGTGTTGAACAATTTTTTGTATTAAGGAATAAAATTGGCTTTTAACCAGTTAAGTACAGAGATAGTGAAGAAGTGGTCCTGTCAGTTAAATCTTATCTTGTGAATAACTACAAACCCCATGAGTAGCATTAGAAATGTTGTCTTAACATAATGACTAGTAGTCCAATGTTCTCAAACTCTTATGTCTTCAAATGGAGTTTGGGATTGTTCACTTGGTATAACATGTCATCTACATGGATATATAATAAATCATCAAAAGTGTGGCTACATTGTTTGTTATTAAAACATCTGTAGTAGCTTATGTAGAACTAATCAAGCAATAAAACATTCACACTTCAGTACATATGTAATAAGCTTTTAGAATAACAGAAGCAAGATATATGTACATACACACACACACACACACACACGCTCACTCACATATATATTACATGAATATATACACATAGATATATGTGTTTGTGTGTGTGTGTGCGCATGTGTGTTTGTGTACACCTGCATTACAGTGCACTGAAGAGCACACCTAAGTTCACATAATCACAAACGAAATAATGCAATGAAGTTTGAGTCTGAATTTCAGTATTCCTTTCTGACCTTCTGTTGTCACACTGTATGTTTTTTGAACAGTTGAACCCACATTAAGAAATAATTAGCTAAAATGTTGCTTTGAACCAAGGCTCAGCAGGGAAGATGTCAGCGGATGGTTTAATCACCTATATCCATGATCCAAACATTGTTTGTTGGTCCACATTTTGTTTTTAACTGCCAGGAGAAATCGACAAGGGCTAGGTCCTCCCATAATAACATGGCCTATTACTTTTTAAATGGTGCTAACCTACTGAAGTTCTGCCAGAATGGAGACTGGCTGCGTTTGGGCTCCGTTAGTTCATACATTGACCCCTGAGGGATACCATCAGTGAGCATGAAGTTTCTCTGGTGGACAGGATCCGGGGGTGCTGGGTATGAGGGAGGTAATGACCTTGTGTAGTTCACTCCTGAAATGAGAGAAAAAAGCATTAGGCTATATTACAAATTATACTGAATTCTCTTAAGAGTACAATATCAAAAACCTAGCCAAACATGTATTTAGAATGACAACTGTAAGACCATTGAAAAGTGTTTTTACTTCACACCAAAGTTACTTATGACGTGAATGTAACTTGGATCAAGTGTTATGGCTTTACATGTAATAATTACACCATAGAAAGAGACTACAGACCCATTGAATCTGTGCTGTATCTCTAAGTGCAATTTATCTACACCCCACGCCCCCACACTTTCCCTGTAGTCCTGAAATTTTTTTTTCTTGTTGTGTGCTTTTCTGATTCTCAGTTGAAAGTCATGACTACCTTCACCACAGTCCCAGCAAACTAATGTATCAGGTGAAGAAATGCAATAAAAAACACAATACGACCTAAATTGATTTCATGGTACATGTATGTGAAAACATACTGTGCAGTAAATAAGGCTGGTGAATTGCAGGCACAGTAGCTGTGAAGAAATTTTGAAGAAGAGTCATTCTAGACTTGAAACATTAGCTCCGTTTCTCTCTTCACAGAGCTGTCAGACCGGTTGAGTTTCTCAAGCAGTTTCTGAACTTGTTTCAGATTTCCAGATCTGCATTTCTTTGTTTCTTATTTAGTGTTAAACACACTTGCTCTGTGTAGTTAGGACTCAGTTAGAAAGCTGTGCAATCAGATCTCCGGAAAAGGTTCTAGGAGTCAGTAGATACCCAAGTGTTATAGTAAAGCTCAAAAGAAGCAGTGTGTCACTAATATAGCTTTCCAAAACTTACCAAAATCGGCCAAGCATTATTGTCGTCTCAATCTTACAGAGGAATACCCAGGTAGACTATCAATGACCTCCTCTACTCCACTAGGCTCAGTGATACCATCTAGTGTGTGCTACCTTACACTCACTATCGCTACTGCACCCACCTGCCACCAAGGCTCATGTACTCCCACTCTCACTCTCTCATGCACATGGTCTTTCACTCACTTTCATGCCTCCGAGCCCCCATGTATTAACTCTTCTTGGCCTCTATGCTGCCTCTTTATTCAGTTGGGTCACCTCACCAACTTACCCCCACCACTACTGACAGCAATGGCACCAACTTTCATCTCAACTTTGTTCTCATTGCAGGTGAAACTGCCCATAATAGGGACAAAAGAACCACAATGGGAGAAAGGGCTCCAGATATTCAGCTTCTCACTTCGTATAAAGAGAGGATCTTGGCTGTTGCTGGCAAGGACTGGGATTGCCTCGTGGAGACATTGAAATATCATGTGCCAGCAACCAAGTAAGAAGCATTGTCCCTTGTTGTGCTGATCTCTCATTACCCCCACTGTGAATGTGTTATAGTCATACAGTCATGCAGCATGGAAACAGACCCTTCAGTCCAACTCATCCACCCTGACCAGACATCCCAATCTAACCTAGTCCCATTCACCAGCATTTGGCCCATATCCCTCTAAACCCTTCCTATTCATATACCAGGTGCCTTTTAAACTGTACCCGCCTCCACCACTTGCTCTGGCAACTTGTTCCATACATGCACCACCCTCTGTGTGAGGAAGTTACCCCTCAGGTCCTTTTTAAAATTTTTCCCCTCTCAACTTAAACATGTGTCCTCTAGTTTTGGACTCCCCCACCCTAGGAAAAGACCTTGGCTAGTCACCCTATCCATGACTCTCATGATTTTATATACCTCTATAAGGTCATTCCTCAGTCTCCAACAATCCAGAGAAGAAAGCCCCAGCTTACTCAGAGTCTCTCCCTGTAGCTTAAACCCTCCAGTCCTGGCAACATCCTTGTAAATCTTTTCTGCACACTCTCAAGTTTAACAACATCCGTTCTATAGAAGGGCCCCAGGAATTGTACGCAGTATTCTAAAAGTGGCCTCACCAATATCCTGTCCAGCTGCAACATGATGCCCCAACTCCTATACTCAATGTTCTGACCAATGAAGGCAAGTGTGCCAAATGTCTTCTTCACCACCCTGTCTACTTGTGACCACACTGTCAAGGAACTATGCACTTGCATCCTTCGGTCTCTTTGTTTCGCAACATTCCCCAGGGCCTTACAATTAACTGCATAAGTCCTGCACTGGTTTCCCTTACCAAAATGCAACACCTCACATTTATCTGAATAAAACTCTATCTGCTACTCCTGGGCCCATTGGCCCATCTGATCAAGGTTCAGTTGTACTTTGAGATAGCCTTCTTTACTCTCCACTGCACCACTTATTTTGGCGTCATCAGCAAATGTACCAACTATAATTCCCATATTCACATCCAAATCATTTACATATATAATGAAAATCTTAACTTGCCAGAATATCCCCTCCTTGTTTACGACATATTCTCTCTTTTATTTCCTGCAGGTACAAGCAGTGTTAGCATAGCCTCTGCATTTAAGAAGGCATTCCTGCAATATATCTCCTGCCCCAGCTGTGAGTAAGGGAGCACAGATGTCTCAGGGACAGTGCTGACAATGTTGCCTTCTGCACCCTCAGCCAGCTTAGACACTCATACTCCTGTGGGCATTTTAGCTAGATTAGAGATGGGAGCACCTGCTGGTGAGCACATCACTGCCATGGATTTTCAGTTTGTCAAGGGAGAAATGCTGCGGTTGCAGGCACTCAGAGAACTGTCAGGTACCAGGCACCTGCTCAGTCCCAGGCAAGAAAGAAACCAATGCTTCTGGCAATTTGTGACATCATAAAATGCACAAGTAGACACAGGAACAGTGGGCACATTTACTGTGGTCACTGAGCAACCTGACACAAAGGTGGCATGACTGCAGTAATGCCTACTGCCTCAGCCACATAAATATCTGGCTGCCAACATGGACAGGTTGGTAACTGCCATAGACAGCCAGGTCCAGCACTCTATGTATCTGCTGAATATGCACACAGACTTACACTTCATCGTTCTAACCATTGTGCTTAGCATCAATAGCAAGGTGACAGGGAAATGAGGAACCTTGATTTCACTCTACGGTGCCCCTTCCCAACAAGGAGACAGAAGGATGCCAGTAAGAGGAGGAACCACATACAAGTCACCCAAAAGTCTCCTTTCAGGACACTCTAGAGGAAGCCAAGCATCCAGTTGCACCTTGTCTCCACCCTCAGCCCTGAGGTTTTCAAGCCGAAGAGGAACACCAGCCTCTGAGCAGGACACACTCAGAAGTCTTGGCCCCCAAGATGCAAAGGCCCTGGGGTCACCCAACCAAAGCTCCAATGCCAGTGGGTCAGTAGGACAGGCCCACTCTACCCCTGCTTTGGACTCTGGGAATGCATCAAGATGTAATGGGAGGAAAAGAAAGAAGAAGACCTTCTGAGGGCATGTAGGAGTCACATCCTTATAAATATGTTAACATTTTTTTTAAAATGGGTGAGTAGAAGTCTACTACAATACTGAAAGTTCAGAGCCAAGCCATCCTTGGTGCTACATGATGTTTTATGATCCAAGTTGTGACGTGAGCAACTCTTTTACAATGTGCAGGATATGGGTACTTAGAAGATGATGACTACTTTGGCAGCTTTTCCAAGCCACAGATCATTGCTTAGGGGTCTCAGCCATTATGGGCATTGATTCTTGATTTGTGTGATGTGTTCAAAAGTATTCATGGCAGGGATGTGGTCTGGACACAATAGGTTAATGCCCAAGTTTTACACATTATGTAGTGCTTGCAAGTCCATTTCAGTTTTACAGTATGGGCGTACATGTGTACTGTTATTGTGCTTTGGATGGGCTCACGTCACTCAACATTGAAGCCTCTCCTTCAAGGAAAGAAACATCAACCCCTCCCATTTTGGGTGCGGTGACAGCCATTTTTAGCTTCATCGGACTATCAGCACAATGGGGGGGGGGGGGGGGGAACAGCTGTCACTCTCACACTGTGAATCTGCCACTCAAAATCTTATTCACAGTGAATCCTCAAACGTAGACATTCCATTTTGATTTCTGTCCCCATCAACCTCACAGGCTTTGAACTTTTCCACGTTCCCATCCAAACCGTCTCTCTAAATTTTGTATCCCAGCTGCACCTGTCCAGCCCCAGGCACATTGAGTAAACATGCCAGATATTGTAGTTCCCCCATGTTAATAACTGTCAATGACCAACTCCACCACACTCTCCCACCTCATATTACCCCTTTCCTTTACATGTTTTATTGTTCCTCCCACTTTTATATTGAGTTGTCTGACTTCACAATTGTAATCCTCTCTGCATCCTAACATGCCGCCCCAAAGTGCATAACTCAGTTTCCTAGCATTCCTCCCACAGTAGTGGTCTATGATTATACCACCATGTCCTCCCAACTTATTGTGAATACACCCCAAGGATTGCCTGTGACTTCTCAAGTTACTTAAATAGACAGACAGAAAGAGGAGGGACCAGACTCCTGACCGAATCTCACCCTAATAGTTAACTCGGCTTCCCTAACATTGCCTGTACAATGAAGGACAAATGCAAATACATACACTCACCTTTCTGTTTGCTGACTTTTCTTACAGTCATTGCAGCTTGTCTCTTCTGATACTCCGAGATTTCAAATCCTAAAAAGCAGTTCAATAAATGAAATATATTCCACTTCAAAGCATTTTTAAAAAAATGTGTTTTCATCTAAGTGACTCATCTCAATGCTGGTGGAATAATTAGTTTGTACTTAAGTGCCAGTTACAACCATTCTCAGGTAAGGAATGATTGATGCAGGATAAAACTGCAATAATCTAATCTCTAACCTCAGAATGGGAACTCTTATTGCTTGAACATGGTATATTCTTTTCCTGTTAGATCAGCAAGTCATATAACCCTTCTAAAAGAGATTGCCAAACTTGCATGGAATGTTGAAACTGCCCAAAATTCTCTGAGGTAAGAAGATTTGCAATAAGCATAACATCAACAGTCATCCATCCTGAGGACACATAAAAAAAACACAAGCACAGTGGGTAACGTGACAATTAGAGTGAACTGGTGTGAAGACCAATTAAGACCTGGTTCCCAGACTCATTTAAAACAATCAGCTTTGTATAGCAATGGGAGGACAGTAGTGTTGATATCCTGCATCCAAGCAAATATTGCGATTCTGTAAACTCTTCTATAACCTCTGAAATCTACGTGCTGCAGGTGTATTGTAGATACGTTAGTAACTATTTTTAAAATAATGTGAACAGATAGTATAGATCTATACTTCTTTGTTATATTTCACAGAATCTGAGTGTTGCTGACAATACCAGCTTTTGTTGCTCATTCCCAAGTGTCTTACACATCCGTTTCAGTGAACAGTTAGGAAGTAATTTTATTGCTATGGCTCTGGAATCAAATTTCAGCCAAACCGAGCAAGGATGGCCAATTTTCTTCCATAGAGAGCATTTGTCATCCAGATGGGCTTGACTCAGTGCATGCATTTGTTGGGTGAGAAAACGTCTTTAATTTGCACCTAATTTGCAATTAATAAAATTTGCAGTTTAAAGTTCTAAAGTTGTAAGCTTTGAACAGGTTTATTTTTAATAAATGGAGTGAGAGAGCAACTTAACAAAAAACTGGCTGACTCTGGATCCTCTTTAACTGAGTGAGCTAGGTCCTTTGAATTGGGAGCATATATAAGTACTCAACTTGGTGTGAGTTAGCACCTGAGTGTGACTTACTACAGGGCACCAGAGTTGAGCATCTCAAGGAGGATGGAGAAAGGCGTTTAGCTGCTTTTTCCTCAACAAAATAGCTGATTGGAGAGTAGAACTGGTGGCTTTTCCTAGTTTTAAACTAAAAATATGATATTTAATTCCTGCTTAGCTGTCTAGTCATTTATTCCCCTATTTCTTAAAAATAGCTCATTAGCTACAAGATTGAGACTAGTGCATAAAAATGCAACAAAAATAAAATAAATTGTAAAGAGTGAAGATACTTGAATGATTTGATGAATAACTAATATAAAATATGATAGAGATGGTGGGTTGGTTCATGTGTTATAGCTGCAGCATGTAAACTCTGCTGGACCCTAAGGTGATCCACAGTGAACACATTTTAGTAAGTGTTTGCAACTCAAGCAACTTCAGATACAAATTGAAGTGACGGAGTTTGAGCTGTAGATATTCATCTGTATCAGGGAGGAGAAAACACAAGCATGGTCAGTATAGCTTTGTGAAGGGCAATCCAAATTTATTAGAGTTCCTTGAGGAGGCAACAAGCACAATAAATAAAGGGGAACCAATGGATGTAATATATTTGGATTTCCAAAAGGTCTTCAAAAATGTACCACACATAAGGCTACTTACTAAGAGCTTGTGGTGTTGGAGTAGTGGTGTTGGGACAATGGAGGTATTTTCAGGATAAGAACCTGTAACTAGTGGAGTGCCACAAGGATAAGTGCTAAGGCCATAATTATTATCAATATTAATTACTTGGATGACAGAAGTGAATGTACAGTCACTGAGTTTTCAGGTGACAGAAAAATAGTTGAGAAAGCAAGTAGCGAGAACGACACAAAGAGTGTGTAGAGAGACATAGAAAGTTGAGTGCATGGTTGAAAGCTTGGCAGTTGGAATGTAATGTAGGAAAATTTGAGGCACTTCAGCAGTGACAATAGAATGAATATTATTTAAATGAGAAACATTGCAAAAGCACAGGGAAGTCTTGCTGAAGCTATATAAAGCTCTACTCAGACCAAAATCAAACAAGAACAGAAATTGTTGGAGAAACTCAGCAGGTCTAGCAGCGTCTGTGGAGAGAAAAGACAGTTTATGTTTCAAGTCTGGTGATGTTTCTTCAATTCTAGTCAAATCAAACCAGGAATACTGTAAACAATTTTTCTTCCCTTGTCTAAGCAAAGATATGCTGATATCGGAGGCAGTCCTAAGAAGCTTCACTAGGTTCTATCCCGGTATGGAGGGTTTTTTTTAAACAGGAGAATTAAAGTAGGTTGGGCTTGTACTCGTTGAAATTTAGAAGAACTAGAGTCAACCTTTTTGAAACATATAAGTTTCTTACAGGGCTTTCCAACTTGGATATGGAGAGGTTGTTTCTTCTTGTGGGAGAGATTAAGATCAAAGGACATAATTCCAGAGTAAGGGATCTCCCATTTAATACAGAGATAAAGAGGAATTTATTCTCTCAGAGGGTAGTGAATCTGTGGAATGCTTTACTGCAGAGGGCACTTTTAAATGTATTCAAAACTGAGATAGACAGATATTTAATCAGTTAGGGAATCAAGAGTTATTGGGGGATACAACAGAAAGCAGGAGTGGAAGATTTTCAGATTAGCCATGATCTCATTGAATGGAGGATCAGACTCAAAGGTCAAATGGCTTACTTCTGTTCGTACATCTTAAGCTCTCACAGGTGTTTATGATATCTGATGATCACTGCCATTCTAACATTCATAGTGAAAACATAGTGCAATTGTATTGATGAAGCTGTGTAGAACTTTGTTTTCCTCCCTCTAACTGCAAGGAAAATGTCTAATATTCTCAGAGATCTAACGGAGAGATTTTCTTTTCTATCACTAGAAGCATAAATATACCTTAGCATAGTGTCTTAGCTCTTTCTAAAATATTTAAGATGTGGAGGTGCTGGTGTTGGACTGGGGTGGACATATTCAAAAGTCACATGATGTCAGGTTATAATCCAACAGGTTTATTTGGAATCACAAGCTTTCATAGCGCTGCCCTTTTGTCAGGTGCAGGCACCTCACTTCACCTGACGAAGGGGCAGCACTCCAAAAGCTTTTGATTTCAAATAAACCCGTTGGACTATAACCTGGTGTCATGTGACTTCTGGCCTAAACATTTTAAAGTTTAGAAAGTAGTTTTTACACTCTTCTGTCTTCTGTACGTGCACTGCTATGTGTAGAATTGAATGATATATTCTGGGAAAATTACAAATTCAATTCAGCCTGTCCTTGTTAGCTGATCTCAGTGAAAGTGATGGATTTTTTAAATGTTTATTCATGGGATGTAGGTGTTGCTGGTTAGGTCAGGATTTATTGACCCTTCCTCATTGCCCTTGAGAAGGCTGTGGTGAGTTGTTTCCTCATCAACAGCAATTAGGGAGGGACAATAAATGTAAACCTATCCAGCAACTCCTTACTCCCATGAATGCACGAAAAAAGTGGCCTCATCATCTCACAAATATGAAAAATTAAATTAGGATTCCTGTTCCTTATCACCATTCAAAGACTTCTGCTGAAAAATACGTGAATGCCAGAGAAGGACAAGATTAGTTTTAACTCTAAATCTATCAGAATGAATTGAGAGATTTATTCCATGATCTGAGGTTTGGCAATGCAGCATAACCTTTGGGACTTTAAGCCCCTGGGTGTAAGCTCATGAAATATCTCTGAAACAGTTATAATCATGTCTGATAACAGAATAGCTGCTGTCTGCTTTTTGGCATTTTCCTTATGTTTTGTGGTGCCCAGCTGCAGTGAGATGGCACATTGCCAAAATTACAGGAAACCCACCTCATTGGATACTCAACCTACGAAGTTCAGCTGTATGATTAGGAGGCTTCATGAGAATATTCTGTACAGTGGTTCAAATCTGGCCCTGAATTTTTGAAATAAATTGCACTGAAGTTAAACTTGTTTTTTATTTCCTCCGGCTTCTAGGAAACTGGTCAGGGTGGACCACAGTACATATATTGGGATTCAAATATTAAACAACCTAAAATAATAGTTCACGAACATTGGTTTGGCCATGTTTGGAGTACTGCGTGCAATTCTGGTCTCCCTCCAATAGGAAGGATGTTGTCAAACGAGAAAATTTTGAAAAGTGATTTACAACGATGTTGCTGTGTTTGGAGGGTTTGAGAGAAAGGGAGACAGTGATAGGCTGGGGCTATTTTCCCTGGAGCGTCGGAAGTTTTGGGGTGACCTTATAGAGGTTTATAAAATCATGAGGGGCATGGACAGGGTAAATATTCAAGCTCTTTTCCCCATGTTGGGAGAGTCCAAAACGAGAGGGCAGAGGTTTAAGGTGATAGGGGAAAGATATAAAAACGACCTAAGGGACAAGTCTTTCATGCTGAGGCTGGTGCGTATATGGAATGAGCTGCCAAAGGAAATGCTGAAGGCTGGTATGATTACAACATTTCAAAGGCATCTGGATGGATATATGAATAGAAAGAGTTTAGAGGGATATGGGCCAAATGCTGTCAAATGGGTCTAGATTAATGTAGGATATCTGGTCAGCATGGACGTGTTGGACTGAAGGGTCTGTTTCCATGCTATATATCTCTATGACTCTATAACTCATATGAAGCATGAACTAATTTCTGCCATTGTATATGAATAGAGAATTATAAGTGTAATAACGAGTCTGTGACTTGCTTCTGTTAGAACAAAAGATGGTCGTTAACTTGACACTGTCTACTAAATAAAGTGGCTTTAGACATTTTGCAGTATATTAAATGGTGTTAATTTCATCATAGACATTCCAAACTATGCAGCAGTCTTCCTCAACAATTGGCATACAATGGCAGCCAAGCAAACTTTTTAATGCTACTTGCTTTGACATATCCTCACATATAGTTAAAGGTCATTCAGTCCTGCTCAGTAATT